CCTGGAAAATCTGAGACATTTCTTCAAGGTCTTGTATTCAGAAAAAATATTTTACTGTTAAGTGAGAAATAATATACACATCCAACTCTCTCAGATGACCCTCAGCAAGCAAGCAATAAACAAAAACAAGTGCAAATCATTCCCATGAAGACCAGACCAGAATCAACCTTTCTTCAGAATCTTTCTAAATGATTCCTCAGGTGCCCAGTAATGTCGCTGTGCAGACTCAGCAGCTTTTCTGACTGTAGGGATGATAACCTTTGGTCTTCTCTCAATCCAGTTGTTTATTTTTCCAATCACTTAGGAGCTTGCTGTGTACAAATTGTCTGTTCCCCCAACAAATGTGGTTGAATTTGGTGAACAAGCTCAAATTTATTGTCAATCTGGGAAATGCAGAATCACAAAATGGCTTGGGTTGAAAGGGATGTTAAAGATCATCCAATTCCAATCCACCTGCATGTGCAGGGACAGCTTCCCCTAGACCACACTGCTCCGACCTGGCTCTGAACAACTCCAGGAATGAGGAATCTACAGATTCTCTGGGCAACATTTTCCAGTGTCTCACCACCATCACAGTAAAGAATTATTTTGCAATATCTAATATAAAATAACATGACTGTGGGCCACATAAAACCCTTCCCTGCACTCACATTCCCTATCTCAAGTAGGATTGGCATCCCTTTAAGTGGGAAATACCAGAAATTCCTTGAAATTAATTATAACGCTGCCATTTTCAAGGTCAAGGCATGTGCAACTGTGATACTGATGGTGGTAGTTCCATCAATAGACGCCTTTTTGTCTTACCCAAATTCCAGGCTGCCTCTGGAGCTGATGCTTGGAGGGATGGGGAGCGTGTGCAGGATTACTTCCTTCAGATTCTTATCTCTACCTCCCATCCCCACACCTTAAACCCATCAGGACCTGTACAGCCAGGGCTGCCCCAGCCAGGCTGCAATCACAACGTGTGCAGAACGTGTGCAGTTTCTCCAAGTTCTAAGAGTCTGCTGCAGGTGGCAAAGCACAGCCAGCTATTGGGTGTTTGCAGCTTTTAAAAGGAAAGATGAGTTAGAATCTCGCTTGGTGAAGGTTTTTGCCACTGAACAAATCTTTTAACTGATTTTCAAATGCCTTTGGTATTTGTTAGTAGTCATGTTTCCCAATGGCATTGTGAAGCTCAGATAGACTGGAAGTACCAGCAATTTGTGGATCTTCTATGTTCATTGTACTGATGAAGTTTAAAAGTGCAATTATTTCAGATCCCAGCTGTATCACTGGCATCAGTTATACTGGTCCTTAAAATGCTTGCTTGTGCTTAACAACAAACAGTAAAAAACTTTGTAGAGGATGATGACTTCTCATTTCTTTAATGTAGGAAGTGGCATGGAATCCTATTTTTTTGTTTGCATTTTTTTTTCCCCAAGGTCAGTTAGTTAATTATTCAATCGTCAAATCATTTGTGTCTCCCAGATCAAGACTAGTGCTGGCAGTGTTTTCAATCAGCTCTGCTACTGGTATTTCCACAAGGGATTCCTTTATCAGTGGAGACAAAAAGTACAGGTGAATATCACAGAATCAGGGGCTTGCTTCGTCAGAAACCTTGAACAACCTCTTGTTCCTCAATATCAATAAGCCTCTTGTTCATTCCCAGCTCTCCTATAAGAAAATTTATGATTAAGGCAGGATCAACAAGTTGAGAGCAACCTGTATTCATGTTTTTTCCCTCATCTTATATTATTGCATTTTTGTCCCATGGGGATTTCTGGTGGATAAACATGGTTAAAGAAAATCCACAAATATTTTGCTTAAGGTTTCATAAATTATTTTTCCTATAACCTATATATTCCATTAAAATAGTCTCATCGTGGCAGCTTTTAACAATGTTTGCATTTTAAAAATAAGTTAAATATTCATGAACTTCAGAATTTTCTTCATGAAAATTTTTTCATTTTTATCATTGCCACTAATATTAATATCCTGAAGAGATATTTTAATAACTAGAATAGACAAACAGTCTAAAATTTTAAAGAGATCATAATTACATTTATTGGTGCGCTGAGTTCTAAATGACAAGGGAAATTAATTAGTCTGAACATTTTCCTCAATGAATATGAAAATAAAATAAAAATAGACTTCTCCATTTGTTAGAAAGTATCTTATAAGAATTGATACTGTAATTACAAGTCTTGTGTAACCCTGAGTGCCAGTTATCTTCCTGAGCAGAGCACATTTAACAGATGAAGTTGAAGAAGTCAAGCAAACATTTTGCAAAACAAGTCAAAGATCTTCTGAGCTGAGCCATGGCAAAGTCCTGTCCTTTGGGATAGAGGGGAGCTTGTTATAGGCATCCAGTGTAAATGTTTCTGAGTAATTTCCTTTCTGACTTCCATAAATCACAGAGTAGTTTAATTGTGAATACATTACCAGCAGACCATGGCCTAAACAGGATTATGGATTTGCATTTGTTCATAAGATTATCCCACGTTTTTGTAGTTTACTTAAGATCCTTTCAAATGTTTTTCTCTTATCTATAAACTAGAGTAGTGATTGCATTTCAGGTTGCTTAATTATTAATCTCTATTAAACAAACTTAGTAATTAAATATTACTTGATATAAAGCATACTTTTGTTAAACACTGAGTTCATTTTCTGGATAAATGAAATGAGAAGTAGGAGAGGAAAAGACAAATATTGAACTTTTCTCATTTAAACTTCACTTTTTCCAAGTTCATAAAGTAGTTGTAAAAATTAATTAATTTTGCAGACTTCTGATATTTTACAAAGATGTTTCCATCCAATATAAAATGTGTCTGCAAGTTCTAGAAATGTTTTTTTAAAACCTATTTTGAAATAGAATGATTGGTTCAGATTGCTCAAGTCAGTCATATGGTGTTCGTTCTGTTAATTAAGTAATTCTTAATGAATTCTGAATCTAGCCCGTTTAGTCAGGGAGTTTCAAAAACAAAAGTTTGTTTTTCAGGAGTCTTTAGAATACAAGATGTAACCAGTTTAACATGCAAAGATGGACAATTTTGTTATATATTAGGGAAAAACCCCACAGTGGAGGAATGTGATAAATTTTCTGGAGAGGTTGTAGAGTCCTGGTCACTGGAGGATTTAAAACCAGAAATGCACATGCCTGTAATGGTGAATGGTCCACACAAGTGGATCTTGTGCAGGCATGTGGATATATTAAACGTGTTAGTAATATAACCTGTGCCCCCTTGTTATCCTCTGATTTTATATCCTTTTCCTAAGCTGCCCTCAGACTAGCCGAAGGATACTTAGTGGTGTGGCATGGAAAGAAGTACATACAGAAGGATGTGCTGCTTCTGAAGCAGAGTGGAAAAGGAGAGTAATGAATGACAATGAGTAGGAACTCACAGTATATATGACAGATATTGCTCGTATCACTTAACAAGCCACTGGTAAATGATTAGAATTTAGTGATGGAAAGCTTATAAAAACTAGACTAGAAAAACTCACCCCGGCCAGCACAATAAGGAAAGGACACATTCTTGACTGTTTCTTCATCCACAGTGGAAAAGAACAATACATCTGCAAAAGCGAGTCCAGAGAAAGGCAGGCAGTATGCCCATTTCCAGAAGGAGACTCATCAAATGGTGATGAGAAAATTAAATTTTCTGTTTCAAGGCAGAATATGTGATAATGCAGTTGGATGGAAGTGTCCTCCATAGGGGTGGTCTCTATGGAACAGGGAGCTGGATTTGGTATCGTTGTTTGTGCACTCCAGCAGCCATCCATCATGAGATAATATTTAGAATTTAGAGATGATTAGGCTAGCTGAAAACTTGCCTCTGTACAGCTTGTTTTGCTGTTGTTTATATTTCCTGTATTTCTATATTTTATGGCTTGGATAAGTAAACAATAAAATCTGCCTTAACTCTATTTTATAACTTCTAGTAATAAATAATATTTTGGACATATTCTGGGATCCTGCTGGGTTACAAATTAGCCTACCTGCTACTCTTCTGTATCAGTATTAATGCCATCTACTTTCCATAGAGCAGTGCCAGAAGTTCTTGGAGGTCATCTACTCCGATGTTAACTCGTTTCAGTTCCTGTCTCGTGTTGAAAGCTGGTGAAGATGTTGTATTTCAAGACAGGAGTACGCCTTGAAGAAGATATTCCTGGCAACATATCTACAAGCTAATCAACAAAAATCACGTGTCTGCTACTAAATTTGCAGGGTCTGCAGGATTTTTCCCTCTAAATATCCTGTCCTGAAGTTTTAATGTAGCTGCTTATTAGTCAAAACAATGAGGAGCTTTAAGGGACTGGATGCAATGCACAGAGGGCCCTGTGAGCACACTGACAGCTACGTGAAGCCATGTGAAAGAGGAACGTTTAAAAGACTGTACAGGACTCACATACCAAAATGAGGTTGCCATGGATATGGGTGTTACATATACATATCCATGTTTATCAAAAAACACTGCAGAGGTTAAACTTAACCTAAAGCTGAGTGTAAAGCTTGGGTGAGAGAAACGTTGTGTTGCAGAGCAATGAGGATGGAAGTAAAAGAATCTCTTCTTTGGTGAGAGGTATCGCTGGACTAGAAAACAAAAGCAAAACAATGCAGCAGTTGAGCCAAGTTCATGCACAAACAGAAGAGGAGAACACCTTCACCACAGAACCTGAACATGTAAAATAAAATACTCCACCATGACAGAAGTAACAGGTTAAAATAGAACAGGATGTTTCTCTGGCTCATTGAAATTAGGGTGAAAAATCCTAGTAGCTTCACTGGAGCCGTGTGCTTTATCCATTTTTTTTGTAAAGACTTTTAATGACCTGATTAATGCCAGAATTTCTGACAAATGCGTGTGGCCAGAGAATATCTTTTACTGAGCAAAATTTTCTTTTTTTTTTTTTTTTTTTTTTTTTTTTTTTTTTTTTTTTTTTTTTTTTTTTTTTTTTTTTTTTTTTTTTTTTTAGTTAATTTCCTTTTCATAAACATAATTGCTATTGAAATAGGTGGTTATAGACCTATCCTTGTCTGCTGATAGAATCACAGCGGAGCTGAGGAGGTACCTCCTACTGGAGGTAGGTGCCAGTTTCAGGAAGATCATTTTTCGCTCTGTAAATAATTAGAAGGTGCATCTCCTGCCACAGGCCAGAGCTTCTAGTATTTCTTCAGAGAAGGACTAAGAACAGATCCTTATATACATGACCAACATAGTTTTGAATAGAAATTTCAAACTACATAAAGAGTTGTAGAGTTTCAAAGCCATCAGTCACTGATAAAAATTCCTGTGATAAGTGAGTTTGAAACATCCAGGACAGGAAGAGCTGCTACAGTTATGGGTTATTTGAGAAACCTCAAGGTAATTATTTGTGCTTACAGTCTCTGCCAAGCACAATTACATGACATCTACAGGCAGGATTTCAGGAGAACATGGAAATCCACTTGTTTGATCCATCTGTCCATCTCTGGTGAAGTATTCATGCAAAACACTTTATGAGTTTCCATATTTTTCTCTCTTCCAGTAGACTCACCACAAGGCCACACACCTGAAATGACCAAAGAAGAGCATTGCAGCTGTTTCCTTACTGCAGACAGAATATTTTTGCAGGTATTGACCCTGTGCTGAGTTGAGAAATGTGTCTAGACCAGGTTCATCAATTTGGAGCAACCTTTTAGGAGGCCATTGCTCCCAAAGATACCTCCAGGTCCCAGGGACATGACACTCCCAGGGGACTTCAGCAGACTCCAGCACTCTCTCCTGCTTAACTTGCTGAGTGAAAATGAGTGAACAGAGGTAGTGGAAAGCAGGTCAGAGCCTCACATGTCATTTGGTGGTCTTTCAGTTGTTGACTGCTTTCTCCATCGTAAGGTCTTTGATTTTAATCGGATCATTGTGTGCACATATGGATATTCCTGGTGGCCTAACCAGTGAACATAATTAAAAGAAATGATTGCCTTTCACTTTAAGCAAACATCTGGTTTTACTTGAAACAAGATGACTTAGCTGTTTCAGAAACATTCTTGTAACCCTGGATTCACATTTTCATCTTAAAATATATATTTTCTCTGTTCAAGCAGCATGTTAATGTAAACACTATATATAACTGACAACCAAAATTTTCAGAAGTATTTGGTGCTCTGAGCATTAGTGAAACCACAAGAATTATTACATTTTTGATTTGATCTCTGTAAATCTGTTTCAACAGTCACTCTGATTTAAACAATTATTCTGATTTATATTCCAAGAACTATAATTTGCAGAAAATGTAACCATGTGAAAACATGTTTTTGTATAGTATATCTTGGCAACCTTGTTTTGTTGTGATGTCATTGCCTAAGGTTTCATGGAAATACTGAGGGAATAAAAGGAAAACAAGACCCTTTCTTTGAAGTATATTTGCATATCCCCTCTCTCCACCACTAAAAATATTTTAATGTCTTTTTTCCATAATGACACTGAATTTTCTGTTATTGCTTGACTGACAAGATGGTCAGAAATGTACTAAATACTCTCATGAAGGGAATTTAATTGAGACGGAAGGATTTGTCACCTTTCACTTCTCCCTATCAGGTAGGAATCATCGTTTGTATAACGAGCTATTTTGAGATCCTGGGTTTCTTTGCTTTCATGTTGTCACAATGACAGATTCTAAACAGTTAAACACAGGCACGTATGCAAGGTACACAGGACAGAGAAAATGAAATTTCAGACCATTTATCAACTGCAGAGGTAACATTGGAGCTTTATCATTAAAAGTCTATCTAATCTGGTTTATTGTAACATCTGAGAGAAGATGACTGTGCTTTATTAAACCAATAGCTCTCATTCACTTCATCACATCTGCTCTTTCTAAAAAAAAATAAAATAAAATAAATATAAGGTTATTAAGAGTAACCCTTCATTATAAAAAGCATAAGTTACAGCTACATACAATAGAATGAAAAATGGCAAAAGAAAATGCCTTCATATGGAAGCAATCCATCTGGATACACCTATAGATGCTATATGGGGATTTCCAGTACTATTAAAAAGGTTATCCCTAGTACAAGATATTAAAAATATGCCTTGTATGATTTAGGGGTTTTAAACATCTCTGGTGTTTTTACTGAAAGAAAAGGAAAAGAGAGAAAGGGGAAAAAGGAAAGCATCACATTCAGAAACATTCCTAACTGGTTTCACATTTTTCTTTTTCCAGCACCAACAAGAAAACGCAAGAGACACAAGCTCATGCCTGTCAGATGTGATCATATGCTAAAACAAATGACACCACTTGCTAATTTCATTTCCCCAGCACGTGCCTTTGAGCCTGTGTCTGGCTGTTAAGTGTCTGGCATGTTTGGAAACTGCAGATTTTTCTTATCTACTTAGTTGGACAATCAACTACAATGAGTTTTTCTATTGGGGTTGATTGTGCACTTAATCACTTTATTGTTAATCCCGAGCAATTTAGTTGATTTCAATGTATCTCTTACCTGATTAAGAGAATGGAGAACTCAGCTACAGTTACTGACCCTGTAAATATCATCAGCCACAGCACCTGGCTACTGTGAGTTCTCCCTTTTGCCACTCTCCCCCAGGTGTGGGACTAGACAAGTGATGTATCCTTTGACTAGTACTGAGTCTTCATAGGATCAGATGGTCAGTAGGTATTTTTAAAATACAACTTTCAAGGAGTTAAAAGTCACAAATAGTTTCTGTTTGCTATTAAATGAAATTTATCATTTAGTCTGCCTTTACATATCTACTTTTCAATATATTATTATCAAAAAAATCCCTTTCATATTGTGAATTGGCAACTATTTCAACTCCACCTTCAAAAGTAAATGAGCAAAATGAACATTGGACATGACCTCAGCACTAGTCATATATTATGTTCTTACTACTGAAGGCAATGTTCTATAAATCTCTACAGCTATATCCATAGATTTGAGTAATATACCATATTTTCTTCAAAATGCCAATCATTGACTATGTCTCTAGTAAATTTGGTACTTGGTACAATAAATAAAATTAATGTTCACATATTAAGAAGAGTCACACGTATTAAGAAGAGTCACTGTAAATCATTGCTCCCTCTTTAAGGACTATTGCTTTAGCAGTCAGTATAGGAAATGAAGTCGTCTTGGGGAGTAGGAAACAGCAAGACTTGTAGAGTGCATTTGAAACCTGAGTTTAAGCTGATCTCAGCCTACCTCCACGTTAGTCATTTCAAGGTCTGCTGCAGGTGGTCTTCACACAGAAGCTCAAAAGAGGCCATTTGTGCCAAAGTGTGGAGTTCGGAGGGGTAAGTGATGGAGCACTCACAGGGAACAATAAAGCTTTCATACTATGGAGAGTGTGAGAGAACCAAGCTGAGCAACTTGGAAAAATGTTAGTGAGTAGAAGGTAAAAAAAAGGCAAATAATTTAAGAAAGCATGTAAGAAAAGGAAGCACAGACTTTGTCTCTGGATAAATGTGGAAACAGTTCCAGAAGAGACACTGCTAAATTGCTTATCTTCTGCTAAAATATTCTTCATAAAATAAGTAGAATCTAATCCCAGCTGAAACAGCACTGTCAGCATCGACAGTTTTTCCCAGTTCTACCTTAGTTCTCTCCCAAAGTTGGCTTTCCACCCTGCTGGAACTTAAAACTGAGGGTTAAGTTTTGGCACTGCTGAAGTTAATATAAGTTTAGCCTCTGCCATGAGGTCTGGATTTTACATAGATATTTAGGAAGTTCTACAAGAGCATTCATGCCTTTACTCGGGCTTTTTTCAGTTAGGTATTAGAGTCTCTTTCTCTCCACTGATCTAAAAGGAGTCCGGCTTATTATCTGACATTAGGGACTTACTTTGCATTCCAAAGTGTCATTGGTATTATTTTATTCTGAATTTCAACAGTTAAGTGCCTTAGGGGAGTTATGAACTGAATGTCCTCCAGGCTTTGTGTAAACGTGGGATAGAGGAGATAGCAATTCCCTCCAGACATGACAAACACGGGGTGAAGGCAAAGAAGTGTCCAATGAAGACAGGCTGAGAGATTTGGGGCTGTTCAACCTGGACAAGACAAGGCTCAGGGGTGAATTTACAGCACCTTCCAGTACCTAAAAGGGCTACAAGAGAGCTGGAGAGGGACCTTTGACAAGGACCTGTAGTGACAGGACAAAGGGGAATGGCTTTAAACAGAGGGCAGGTTTAGATTAGATGCTATGAATAAATTCTTCCCTGTGAGGGTGGTAAGGCTCAGGCACAGGTTGCCCAGAGATGCTGTGGATGCCCCATCCCTGGAAGTGTTCAAGGCCAGACTGGATCAGGCTTTGAGCAACCTGGTCTAGAAAAAGGGGAGTTGGAACTGGATGATCTTTAAGGGTCTTTACAACTGAAACCATTATGTGATTCTAAGTAGTGCAGAAAAGGAGTAAATAACGTTGTGGTGGCAAACATCTATTTTCCTGACTTGTGAAAGCTAAGGTTACTGAAAATTATGGATATCCTACTAGGAGATATCTTTGACTATTGTGTTTGTTGTGTTTCCCCAAAGAAGACTCTGTCTAGTTGTGCTGGACCTTGGGTTTGCATGAGAATAATAGAAGCAAACAGAGACAGGAGATCCCATTTTACACAGCAGAAAAATGAACTCAGAAAATTGCCCACTTTCAAACTGTGCTTGAAAATAACGGTTGTGGCTTTGCCATCATAATTTCTTTGGGCAGTTTGATGTTCTTCTGCTCAGTGGTTAAGCTAGGAGTCATACTGTAGCTCACAGCAGAGAAGGGGATCACAATTTATAACTCATCTTCTATGGATAAAAGCTAAGTACCAAATCGCCTTAGTGCAGCAGAATAGATTTTGTTTCACAGATATGGCTTCATCAAAGCAAAACAAATTCAGCAAACAGTTGATCATTACTTTAGTGGTGTTAGTGATGGAGTGGATGAAAGCCATATGCTTAAATTTTTGCTGAATTAGGGTCTAATTCTGCTGCTTTATTCTCAGAATGTATTTTAAAAAAATTTGGAATTAATCAGAGGAAAAAAGAGCCTGAACATCACATACCTGGTATTCCATGTGACAATCTTAATGAATTTTCCTGTAGAAACTGTCTGTGTCTGACTTTGCTTTTGAGTTCAGTCACTGACACAAGTAGCACTTGTGTTATCATTTCCAGGTGACAGATTGACAGTGGTACAATGAGTTGGCTGTGTAAGAGCATCAGTTCAAGTATGTGAATGAAAGACTGATGGTATCATTCAGCTATTGTTAATGGAGGCTTATTGCTACTTTAAGAGAGGAACGGTCTCCACAAAACTTTAAGTCCAATAATGAGAAAAACCTCATAATATTTATAAGTTTCAGAAACACTGTTTTGACCACTTTAAGTGCTATTACTGCTACAGTATCTTGTTGACAAGTGACCAGAAAGCAATTGTAGGTTAGCAACGCTGTATAGGATACATAACTAAATTTTTTATAGGGCAAAAGGAACCTAGTTTAGATAGAGTATCTCAACAGAAGCTGAGCTTAAGATTTGCTGGATTATTATTTCCCCACAGGAAATCAGGGAGTAGAGTCACACAAGGGAACTGACTGTAGTACTGAGCTTGTGGGTCTGAAAATTTTCATAATCTATTCTGTGTGCAAGACAAAATTCACCTTTTCACTGTTTGATTTTTAGGGCTTCTGAAATTTGGCAAAGTTCGTCATGGATCTGAAGTCTATTTCTACTAAATAAATTAGTGAATCAGTGGCTAACACTAGAACTAAGTCAGCATGAGACTACAGTGCATGCAAATTGTTGCTGCTTCAATTATATGTGTGGTTAAAACAGGTATGCAGATGGAAACATTTGTGCCATTTATTGTGCGTTTAATGATCAAGTAGAGGGCAAAAGTAGCATTGTGCTCCATTATGTGATGTGATGATGTGACGTGAGAGGGGCTTTGACATTCTGCTACTACAACACACAAGTCTCAGTTATGGAACGCTGCCCTGACTGGAAGAATTGACATCCTCACCAGCTATAACATGGCTAATCTACACTGTCTCCTCTTCTCATTAAAGCCATATATACAGCAGACATATGCTTATACTGGCTGATTGCCCTCTCATGTAGGAAGGGGAGTGTGGAAGAGTGGTTTGAGACACTCATATGCCTGTGTGCATGCCAACCTACACGTATAATATTCCTTGCAGAATGAAAATTACACCCTGCATTCTTCTCAAAGGTACCTAATTATGTAGAATGTCATTGAGCCATTTAATGCTATAAGGCAGGCAGAGAGAACATCACAACTGTTAAGAATACTAGGGCACCTGTGGAGAACTGTAGGGAAAATGAGGAGAATATTTGGCTAAGGCCCACAGCAGGCAAGTCACAGCTCCCTCACGTCCCTCTGTTTGCACTGATGGGCACCAACTGCACTCATAGGTCTGCACACCAAACTCCCCTCCTGGGACAGGGACAATAATTTATTTGACAGCACCATGCAGAAGCTGTGCAATGGTTTCACTTTCCCCTTCCACAATTAGCCTTTTCCCTTTGTGTGGGAAACAAACCACTACTGTGAGAATCCCCCAAATCTCTGGGTGAGTCGGTCTCATGGCTGGGCTTCACGAACAAAGATTTGAGAAGGGCTCTACCCACGCTTGCTACAAGCGCGCTGATGGCTAAAAAGGCCAAGGCGAGATAGACAAGTCCGGTTGCAGAAGCCACAGTAGAAAGACTCCCCAGGTGATATCGATGAGACACGATTCTTTCTGTATTGTCTTTTCCCCTCGAGAGTGATCCTGCGTGTATTCTCAAAAGCAGCAGCAGCGTTATAGATGGTGTGTCTCCAGGCCTCCTGTTCAGAGGCCAGGGCAGACCAATGGTGGTGATCAATATGGCCAAGGCTGAGGGATTGTTTCAGGCAGTCCTTGTATCTCCTCTTCGGGGCTCCTCTCTTGCGGCAGCCAGTGGCAAGTTCCCCATAAAGCACGATCTTAGGGAGGCGATGGTCCTGCATCCTGGAGACGTGCCCTGCCCAGTGCAGCTGAGTTCTCAGCAGCATGGCCTCAATGCTTGGGACTGCTGCCTGTTCAAGGACAGACGTGTTGGTCACATAGTCAGTCCAGTGGATGTTGAGGATTGTACGGAGGCAGCGCTGATGGAAACTTTCTAAGAGACGGGTGAGTCGGTCTAAGCTGGAACACATTAGCATTTCTCCATCAGAGTTAACTGGAACCTAGACAGGTTAAAGGTCAAATGAAGCAAACAGTGATCTCAAGCTCCCAGAACAAAAAAAGAGAAACAAGAGGGCAGGTATATTGTCTGAAATATTGCCAAGTTATTTAATAAACTAACTTAAATTTTAAATTTGGCAGCTTTACTCAGTACTGTGAAAACATAAGAATTTTGAGACATTGCATTGGGTGAATCAGTCCCTTTTTTTTCCTGATGGTGTTTTAAACTCTTTCACCTTCTGAGTGGACAGCTCTGACACAGGCCTTCTGTCTAAGTATCCTGAAAGATACTGCATGTATCCTTCTGGTTCGCTCCTTCAAGACCTGAAAAGACTCCTGTGACCACATTGTATAGTATGTTAAAAAGAACACTATCAAAAATTACTCAAGTCAGGTCTGGTTCAGTTGTGTTACCCTCGTGTGAGCTCAGGTATACTCTGAGAAGACCTTCAGTCTTTAATCAAAGAATGGAGGGTCTGTCCTAAAAAAGCTGTTTCAAACATAAGTTGTTCTGACTGTGTGAAATGTTTGTCTCACTTTTATTCTGAATGTAGGCAGAGATTTTTCAGGCTGGAGGAATGTTTGTACTACAAGTCTTTATTTCTCAGGTGAAATTAAGCTTTTCTAAAGTAGACTTAAAATTTTGTGTCCCCTCCATTGTCCCTGAGATGTGCCAGTCATATACAGTCCTACACACTCTTTTGCTGAATTATAAGCTGACAGTGTGCAGAGAGACAATTGCAGCAATCAGGTTTTGTGTTGTCTGTTTAAACTTATTTTAAATGATGAATCAGCCAGGATAACAATGAAGCCTGGAAACTGGTTCCTGGCTTCCAGAACTATTCTATTCAGTACTAATTCCTGCAACTACGCATTTGCACATGTGCCTAATACACATAAATTTATATAGAAGATGTATATTTCCACATTAATGAATTTCTGTACACATATTTTATATATATATATATATATAAGTCCCTACATATAGTAAATTATATTTAACATAAAAAGGGCCTGGCTGATTCAGAGTCTTCCAGGCTGGCAGAGAGGCATCATCTCTCAGACCAAATCAGGAAACATTTCTCATTCACCTACTTCTTTTTGGTCTTTCTGTTAATACTGCTATAACTGTGCTTGTTCACAGCTCCAGGTTCCTCCTTGTGTTCAGGTTTTGGGTTGGGTGTCTGTAGAAAACATGAAGTAAAAACATCTTGGCTTTTTTGAGTCTTATTCTTTTAGTTTTCCTTTCATTGTGTCATGGTCTGCTCCAGTTTTACTGGCATCATCACCAGTGCACTAGGCAAAAGTAATGAAACCACAAAGATATTTCACAAAATGCAACAAATACCTCTCAGATTTCACCCTTTTGACTCCCTTTGGACCCTACCAGTGTGATCCAAAACTTTTAATTTATAAGAATCAAGTCCCAAGAATCTGTTCAATTGTTAATTAATAAACTATGGCTTTAGTGTCACCTATTTGGATTTGATAAATACAAGTGAACTCGGGGTAATAAGCCTGCTCAAAAAAAGTATTTTACAAGAACTGAAGCAAAATGAAACCTTTTTACAGAGAATTAATCAAGAGAAACTTATGCTGATGAAAAATTAAAGTACAATGCAGAACTGCATTTTTTGAGATACATTAAACGACTGCAAATTTTATATATTAAACCACAGAATATTCCGTAAAACAATGGTGCCCTCTTAAATGAAATGTTATTAGAGAAACAGACCTGTCAGGGGAATACATTTTTATATCCAGTTAGGTTTTGCATTTAACAGATTCCCACTTTGTATATTTTTCTGTGGTAGCTGCTAAGTAAAATATATATACTCTTGAATGTTTGCTTACTTCTGGAATGGGAAATTTCCACACAATTTAGTGATTTAAGAACTGATTCTAATCTACTACTACTACTAATAAAAAAAACCCTTTTGGGAATACTCAGTGTCACTCAGTCTGTGGAACAACAGCCTTTGTTCATTTAGGACATCATCTAGTTTCCTGAGTCTTTTCAGAGTTTTCGAGGGGGGCTGAACTGCACCCTGAAGCCACCAGTGTGCCAAATTGCTGATCTGACTGGTGCTTAGGCTTCCTTAGACCTTCTGAAGAATTGCTCTGGGAGTTTATCACCTTTCAGTGATTACTCAGTCACTCTTTCTCGCTTTCTTAAGTAGATGAATAATAAAGGAGCTCGATAATGAAGGTAGTCAAAGTCCAGGAAGAAGCACAGGAAGGCTCAGATAAATCGTCATGCCACTGTTCCTTGACAAGCTACAATACATGGGGTGTTCCCCCTGACTGTTAACATATTGTTAGCACATGGATAGGGCACGGTAATGCAGCATAGCTGTCAGGGGCAGAGCATTTAAGGCTAAATTATATTATATTTACAATAGTGCACACATGGAGAATTGCAGTAGCTCCATTTTTGAAAAAAAAAAAAAAAAAAAAAAAAAAAAAAAAAGAAAAAAAAGCCATTTCCTGAGAGTTTCACTTACAGTGACTTCAACCCTCTTATCACCTTTTAAAATGATAATAAAAAGTCATTCAGAAATTGTCTGCAAATACCTCCCATAGTACCTGATTCAGAGCAAGGTAATTAGAAAGAGTGATGGTTATTTAATGAAAATCAGAAAGTGTGGATGATGCCTTCCATCTTCCCTTTCTAGGTTCTTGAAATACTTGTTCTGTAAGTAGTGCTCCAAGTGTGTGCAGGTATAAGAAATAAACCCAAGTACAGGTGCTGCATGTTCTCTGTATGAAAAATGCAAAATATCAGCAACTCTGTAGCTGAAAGATGTCACCTCATCTGTTCTCTCTTGAGATTAGACCCAGTTCTAAGTGTGTAAACCTTGGCAAGATGTTTGCCTTAAAGCTTAACATAGTTGTAGCCTCTGTCTAATAAAATATTATATAAAATCTCAATGAGATATTGTAAAGAGGCCCAAAGACACGGATTATACTTACTTCAAGATCTTTTTACATTAACATAGCAGATATAAAATGTCTGTAATACAAAGGAGAATACATGTACTGGATTCTAAAGCCTTTACTTTGTAGAGGGTGAGATAAAGGTTCTTTGTCAGAGTGTATAAATCCCGAATCATTCAGTTCCTTTGCACGAAACTTACTCACTGGAGCACTCCAACACAATGGTAGAAGTTATATTGTACCTCAAGCATTTCCTTCTGTTAAGGGATAGATCAATATTCATACTTGCAAAATCCCTTTGCCACAACAACACAGCACTTTTCCCGAGGAATGCATGTACAAGGGGTAACAGATGAAAAGAAAGAAGATATCTGTAGAAAAATATCCCTACTCAACATTTTCTAGTCTTGCATACACTGGTTTCATTTATTTGTACCTCTGCTGATGTTGAGCCCTTCACTGAAACATCTTATTCTCTTCACCACTTTGTTTACAGAGAAAGAGGAGCCTTAAACCATTTGGTCCAGTTTTGCTGAAAATTTTTCTCAAGTGATTTTTCCTTAACTGTTTGTTTTCATTTCTTCACAGAAGACCTACAGTCTGTGAGATGTTTGGTTGCCAGCACAGAACCCTG